TCTGTAGAATAATTTCAAAAAAGAGATTCTTTAATTTTACCGATTGAATGGAACAATATTTTCTGTGCTGAAAGTATCAAAACTTTTACTTCATCATCGAAATCTTGCATATTTTACCTTGAGTTCCCACGATTTTAAAATTACATTAGTTCAAACTCAATATTGTACTAAGTTCTAGTGATAAGTCAATTGCAAGAATGAAAAATATCTGAATTAAAAAAAAGTGCTGTAAGGTCATATTTCGTTACTTATTCCTCTATTTGTCTTAAATAATCCCTATTTATGTACTTGTATTACAGTACACGTACGTGTACACTAAAACAAGCCGATGTAAAAACTATAGTTAGTCGGGAATCCCGAACTATACTGTCTCCCTCCCTCTCTCTCTCAGTCATTAATAAAAAAGTCATTAGCTTAGTCATTCGAGTTATAAAACTTACGTATTGCAATAAGTAATGATACAATATTCACGCAGGTCAATGGTTATTTTATGATTTCTATAACATATTTACTGAACCTTAAAAGGTATGCAATATTACAAGTTCTTTGATGTTGTGTGACATATTGACATGGTTTGGTACTGTAAACTTTGAATATAACATGTTAAATGTGATTTAGACTTTTTTTTTATAGTAAGAGTATTAATTTTTTCAGAAAATTAGTTTACGTTCGACTTGTATAGAACTGATTCGATGAAAGTAGTTAGAAATAAATCTTTAAAACAGGGTAGCATAAAAAAAGGAAACTATTAGGAATTTAAGTGAAATCATATTTGTATGAAGTACATTCCAAAATTTCGTAACTTATGTATGTTTCAGGATTAATTAGGTATCTAGTAAGTAATTAGGTTAATAATAGAAAAAATTCAAGCAAAGAAAATTTTTTTGACGATTCTATCAGTTTTATATTAAATTTAAATTCAGCTTTATATAGTGTTTTTTATACGCTTTCTTAAATTAAAAAAAAATTTGTAATTAACATTTGTAGATCCAGAACAGAAAGAACAATGAAATTTAGAACATTAACAGCGCATACTCTGTACGGTCGTGTTTATTTTGCATATAATTTTTTTAATTTTTTTAATTTTATTTTTTTTAAATTTTTTTTTATCAATAAATATCGTGGCCAATTGTACTTTATCACTGAACATAAAATCTTGATTACAATTTCTGTCTTTCTATTATAAAGTAGATTATAAGATAATCATATTATCAGTCAATGAGGCAGACGCAGAAAAGTCTGGCTCAATCAACCATATTGCATTGAGATTGCTTGAAGCAAATTATGTATGTGGATTATTTTAAATTCTTAGTAGACCAATAAAAATTCCCTGAGGTGATTACCCTAAGGATAAGATTTTTAATCATTTCTAAGTAGTAAACAAATACTCAAAAGTACAACATGGAAGGTCAATGTTTAAGCGTTAATTTTAATAGTTAGTTGGGCAACATATTTTGACCTAAATAGTTTTTTAAAAAGAGCTGTTTTTATTCTGAATTCCGAGACATTACGGTGCAAAAGTTATCCGATGTATTGCAAGGTATCAAGGAATTCAATAAAAATGAAAAAAAAGGTCAATGGGGCTTTTTAAAAGCCTGGATCTTAATCGGTGCCATGTACTTATAAATTAATTTCTTATTATTAAGAATGCGTCAAATAAGGTAGACAAATCATTTATTTGCCACAAAAAAAAAACAAAGTTACATTACTTGTTGATGGAATTAAACATCACGGGGATTGATTATACTTAAATAATTGTGGACTGTATAGTTTGTCCTCCACAGGGTCCAATGCCCCAAAGTAGAAGCTCTTACACTGAAACCAAACATTTAAATGCGTTCAGGATAATTTGTGTGTGAAAAGCACAGCAACCGAGCAGTGCCAATGAAACAAAATATTCAAAACATCGAAGAAAAGTAAATATTGCGTCGTATTAATGACAGTCAGCAAAGTACATCCAGCCACGATAATCATCGTTGTACAAGGGCTATTGTCACTCTACAATGAACTTTTCTAATGGCTCCGAGGAGAGGGGGAGAAAAACGCGTACATCCTGGCTACACTTGTCCTCAAAAGTACTGACCAATGACCCATTGATTTTCCCCAAAACCCAAGGCTGATCAGCCGAGAGCTGCCCAGCAAATCCTCGTCGCTGGGCTCGCTGGTCTCCCACCGTCCCGTGCACCAAGAGCCCACACCATCGACATCCGAGCGCGTGATGGAGCGCCTAGCCGAGGGCCTGCGCAGGCACCCGGAGCTCCTCAGCCAGTACGCGTCCCTGCCGGACATAGCCGCGGAGTCGGTGGAGCAGCACGAGGCACCCGCCGTGGAAGAGCCCGCGGTCGAGGCGGCAAGGGCCAGGGAGAAGTTCAAAAAGACCACTTTGAGGGCCCTTATCGAGAGGCGGGTGCAGCTGGTGGACAAGATGGTAGAGATGAGGATGGAGAGGGCCTGGGAGGAGTGCGTGCAGAGGAGGCCCTGGCTCCTGCAGCCCATCGAGGCTTGGGTGCTGGAGAGGCACAGGCAGAGGTGCGAGGCGCAGCCGGAACCCACTCACAGGGGATACAACTCGGACGGCGAGGTCAGTGGGGTACCGAAGAAGACCGAAGGGAGTAGCGATGTGAGGAGCCTTTTGTTTTTTGTTTTTTGGTGTGGGTTCGTTCACTTTTTTGGCTCGGCCGAGCTGAGGGTTGATGTTTGGTTTTTTCAACGGCTGGAGACGAGGAGTCCAAGGAAGAAGAACTACGGTAATTTTTACCGTTAAATTACCGGTACTTGCCGATACTAGGATTTTTAAGATGTCCTATAGTTTTATTGTAAAAATGACCCTAGTTCTTTTTCCTCCGTGTGAAAATATTTTGGAAAAATAAGGAACGCTGGAAAAAATAAACTGAATGTGGTACATTTTGCATTTTGAAAGGGTATTACGAATACGTTATATCATGTGAATTGAATTTTTAAAGAATAAAAACTGCGAATAAACAAAAAGGAAGATTTTCTTTTCAAAGACAATATTAAATGTCTACTATACTTCTTCGAAAGCTTAAAATTCATAAATTACTAAATTCTAAAAAATCCAATTAGAAACTTATGCAACAGAAAGAAGATGTAAGTATTTTTGATAGTATGAAATTTATCTATCAGACTCATTCGCTTATAGAAAATATAAATACTGAACATGAAATGTACGATAAAGGTTTATTGACGCTAAACTCATTGGTACTCCGAAAAATGTGTGACAAGCCATTACTCATTGACAAAATATATTCACCGAAATGTAAACAAAGTATTCAACCACCTACGCTTATGGGCTACAGTCAATGTGTTACATGTCAAGATGGTACGTCCTTCACAGTTCGTCACCCGATATTTTTAACGATAGTTCAATGTCACGTAAATAGATAGTACAGATGTGAAAAGCTACCTTAAATAAATGGTGTTTGTACAATGGTGACTTACCATCTACGAATTCACTTGAAGGCGTAAATTTTTAAACAAACAAAGGGGGCATTATGTGTATCACTACGCATAGTACTTTTTTTTTTTTTTCTTATTCAACCGTGAAAACATCACTCGATACATCAATATCCATTCACCGTACCCTATTTTTATTGAAACCTTGACGAAATATTCCTTATTACGCGTGTGCCATAGCCATTGCTAAAATAGTTATCTCCTTGCAAATGAAAAAATTTTGTAATAAAAATGATTACGTAAATTATTATCACAACTCCAAGTGTACTAATTAGTACACCTCTGTAATTCATGACTGAAACTTTCATGCGATTGCGATTAAAGTTGCTCGTCATGAAATTTCACGATCGGCTTACCACGATTACGCTTATATTCCGGCATTCAGTTCATTAGCAGTAGTTGAATAACCAGCAGCTACGTAACTATTCGTTTCACCTGTTTTTTTTTTTCTACGCCAAAACCTAGATAGCTGCTTCGTCGTTTACCATATATTTTTACTTAAAGCTCACAGCTAATTTTATTTTATTTTTTAAATTTTGATCTCATGAAAATTATAATTAGTATGCAGATAGATTGGCTACTGTAGCTGAATTTTTATGGAAAACAAATTGTCATTTCCGTAACCAAAGAAACCTGCTCAAACACTTTGGGTAGCAGTAAATCTATCAAAATTATCGATTCAAGAGTAAATATAAAAATATAAATCTCAGTGTTGCCTCAACAACAAAACCCTCTCCCCCCAAAAAAACCAAACATCAACACCAAAGACAAAAAAAAAATCTCTCTCGGTCAAGAGTAAGCTTTTGAAACCCATACACCCTTGGCGTCAAGGTTTCGTCGGCGGTGTCGCGCGAAGACGACGGAGAACCCGGAGCCCAGACGCGCCATCGGCGGGTGTTGGAGAGGCCACTGAAAAATCCACGACAAAACTCGACGAGTCCTCGGCTGGAAGCCACGGGGGCACCCGCTACTCCTCGGCCGGACGTCATTGTCGAGGCGGAGTGCGAAAAGTACGCCGAGGAGAGCTCGACCTCGCGCTCCAGCTCGCCCGACTTTTTCGACAGGATCAAGGGTAATTTCCGCGACAAAATGGAGGATATTCAAAGGGTACTTTTTTTTTTGGCTTCCTTCTTTTTTATTGGGGTTTGGGGTGCTTGAATCAAAGTTTAATGAGATTGTACGAAACGATATTGGGTGTGCACAAAATATTTTATTACTTGAGGACACTCTGCGACAAAGGGAATTTTCCGAGGAATATGAGTAGACCAAATGAAATTAAAACTTGGAAAATAACACTTTAATCTCCCGAGTGGTTTGGTGGGTGGGTCTAGCTGTTTGTGTTGGCCGATGGCACTTTAATATTATTCTGACCTCTGGTTATCATCTGTATCAACCACGCATCGCTTAGGCAATATTTCTTATTTATTCTTAGATATTACTTATAAGAATCAATTTTATTTGTTTATTTTTTTTTTTCTAATCTCGTTAATCTCGTGGATTAATACGAAAATTGTGCGCTGGTGCAGTACTTCCAGAAGAGCAGCCGGCTGGCAGACGTTAACAGAAAACTAAAGTCCCAGATATGGAGCTCGGTCGTAACGATCGTCCTTGTCGAGGCGAAAAATTTGTTGCCAATGGACATCGACGGCCTCTCGGATCCTTACGTCAAGTTTCGGTGAGATTTACCTATTTTTCAATATTTCATACAACTGAGGAAAAAGAAAATTCTAGCTGGTACAGGTTTTTAGGCTCTCATAGTTAACTTGAGCTCTTATAAATTATCAAAATTTTCTTAAAAATAATGGATTATGGTAGGTTTCCGAAAAATTAAGGACAAACTTTTATTTTTAGAGACGTGATATGGCGTCAAAAACTTATCAGTCTCATAAGTGTAAAAATAAAAAACACTTTTGATAATCTACCTGACAAAACAAATAAAATAGACAATTTTTTAGTCGATATCCAGTTTTTCTCTTGCAAATCAATATTGGTTTAGAATTTTGGAAGACGTGCTCGTAAAGAGGGATGCTCTTAACGAGCAACTTGTTGCGCACGTGGATGAACTTTTGCCAAGTAATTCAATGACTCGTTTTAAATTTAATGTAACTTTAGACGCACACGCTAGTATTTTTTAAATATTAAGTTAATTGCTGATAATTCAAATTAAACGTTATTTTCAAAAATGAGTGTATAAGAATTAACGAAATAAAAAATAAAAACGAGTTTGACGAACGCAAGATTTTTCCGTCCAGCCTAGGCTCGGAAAAGTACAAATCGAAGGTGGCGAACAAAACGCTGAGCCCCGTGTGGCTGGAACAGTTCGACCTTCACCTTTACGAGGACCCGTACCTCGGCCAAGAACTCGAGGTGACCGTGTGGGACCGGGACCGCAGCCACCAGGACGATCTGATGGGCAGGGTGGTCATCGACTTGGCCGCCCTCGAGCGTGAAACGACCCACCGGCTGTGGCGCGAGCTAGAGGACGGTGCTGGTAGTATTTTTCTTTTGTTGACCATCAGCGGTACCACGGCTAGCGAGACGATCAGTGACTTGGCGGCGCACGAGGACACACCACGCGAGCGGTCGCAGATGATTCAGCGATACGCGCTCGCTAACACGCTGCAAAGGATACGGGACGTTGGGCATTTGACGATCAAGGTGGGTTTCATACAAAGAACATACTTTAATGCAAAGAATTTTTTTTTTTTTTATTTTAGAAAAAACATCCCTAACGTGTTATGAATGTTTTCTGTTCCATTTTTTATGGGAGTTCAATAGCCTAGAAAAATTGGCTGTATTTTTACGTTTATAAAATAATTCATTATTATTTTATTACTGTTTCCACTAAAAAATGTAATTTAGTTTTCACATTTTTCCGAATTTTAAATAAATANGGGGGTTCATTGACTAGGAGGAGAAAAAGAGCTTGAAGGAGCGTCTACAGGCGATACAGGAGGTTACCCAAACCGTGCAAAACTCGATCGGCTACATAGCCAGTCTGTGCGAGCGGGTGAAGAACCTGTTCAACTTCACCGTACCCTACCTGAGCTACCTCGCGATGTTCATAGTGATATGTGCATCGGTGGTGTTTTACTTCATACCCATAAGGTATCTCATACTCGGCTGGGGTGTCAACAAGTTTGCCCGGAAAATCATCAGGCCCCACTCGGTGCCCAACAACGAACTACTCGATCTCATATCTAGGGTACCGGATGACGAGGAATTGCTCAACTATAGGTAACCAACATGCAGCCTTTGTACTACTATTATTTTTTGTCCCATAGTGAATTTTTTACAAACCAACTGGGATACGAGAAGGAACCCTCAAGTGGTCTTATTTTAATTCTCGTTGGGAAAATTTATTAAAAAATGATAAAGTAGGCTTTAGTAAATGGGGGATTTCTTTCCACCCAAATAAAATGTTTCTACAATTCGAAAATAAAATTTGTCTTTAATAATCGTCAATGGGATTTTAAAGATTAGTAAATGGGTTTCTCCTGGATTCCAAGTCCCTAAGTAGAGCATTTAAGCCCCATCACTATTTTTTTACGACAACCTCCAAAATAGAATCCATGGTTTTAGATGACAGAAAAGGAGAAATAAAAATAAAAAAGAGAAATTAAACTTGAAAATTTTCCATTACATAAATTAATGATCTATATTTTTATTTTTTCGTAAAAATAAAATAAAAAAAATACTATGTAGAATGGGATTGAAAAATATTCGTATTTTAAGAAAAAAATGTATCATCGTAGAGGTACCTATACATTTTTTGTCAGTTGAGCGACCAAGTGAGCGAGCAAGTGGGAAAAAGAAAAATGAGGATCTGGGTGCTATTTCGCACGCTTGAAAAGAGATTGGCAGCCGATGCCAGCAACCTAACAGAAGGATTATTTCAGGTCTTTTTTTTGTATAGAATGATCGACCCGTTGACTTTAGGGTTTACGCTTGATAAAGCTTACTTCATCCAATAAAAAATATTTCTCTCACGTAAACTTAAAAAAAAGAGTTGAAAAAAGTAAAAACCGATGCACTTGCAGGTATATCGAGCGCAAGGATTGGCCGCGGCGGACTTGGGTGGCAAGAGCGATCCATTCTGCGTTCTCGAACTTGTCAATTCGAGGCTGCAGACCCAGACGGAGTACAAAACTTTGGCACCCAATTGGCAGAAGATATTTACTTTGTGAGTGACACCTGACACTGGCTGTTAAAATAACGATGCATGGAATTGCCGAGAATTTCACGCAACAGATTTTTATTCATTAACTAAAAAAAAAAAATTCACATATTTATTTGTATTTGTATTGTTTTTCATCAGCAACGTGAAAGACATAAACTCGGTGCTAGAAATAACCGTGTACGACGAGGACCGCGATCACAAGGTCGAGTTTTTGGGCAAGGTGGCGATACCTCTGTTGAAGGTGCGCAACGGTGAGAAGCGCTGGTACGCTCTGAAGGACAAAAAACTGAGATGCCGGGCCAAGGGCAACAGTCCCCAGATATTGCTCGAATTGACAGTGGTTTGGAATATGTTGCGCGCCTGTGTCCGGACCCTCAATCCCAAGGAGAAGAAATACATGGAGCCCGAGGTCAAGTTCAAACGGCAGGTCTTCCTTAGAAACGTTATGAGGCTGAAGGCGATAATCGTCATTTTCATCGATTTGAGCAAATACATACAGTGAGTTTGTAATATTGCTTTTGTCTTAACACATTTTTTTTTATGAATCAGATTTACAAGGAAATAGATTTGGTGGTGTGCAAAATTAAAGTTAATCTTTTAACAGTAGATACTCTGCACAATTCAGTTTTAATTTAAAAAATTTTAATTTATTTTTTCAAGATTTGCATGTGTAATAAATTCCTCATTTGTTACACCAATATTTTCGATGAAGCAAAAAGAGTGGGAAAAAAAATGTAAAAGGTGTAATCCAAAAAGTAATTAATCTCATCAACTTATCTAGGAGGAAAACAATACAATTTTTGCTTCCAACATTGCACATGTGAGAGTTGTTTTTCTTTCCATCTAAATTTTTTTCATTCGTCCAATCATAGGAGCTGCTGGGAGTGGGAGAGCAAGCTGCGAAGCATCATAGCCCTTGTGCTCTTCATCGTTGGTGTCTACTACTTCGAGCCTTACATGATACCGACAGCTGCTCTGCTCATTTTGTTCAAGTATTACGTGGTAAAAAATTAGAATTTTTTTCGTTTTTAATGCCTGAGCACTCGTTGTAACTGACACTCCACTGCTAATTGTTACCTTGCTTTGCTTCGACTTTTGCTGTCTCTCTCTCTCTTTCTCTTTCTATTTTTATGACTACATCGAGACACTTGTATCTTTTTTCTTTCAATTGTAAAAATATTGTATATAATTGTAAATATAGATAATATATGAGATATGACGTAAGCTTTTTACTTGGTGACAATTGTAAGATTCAAATGAATGTAATGATCAAGATGTATATTCAACTTTTTCAACAGTGCTACCAAAATATCGAGCCAATTGATAATTATTGACATGGATAACCAAGTGACTAAATGTAAAAAATAGCTGTATAGTTGTTCGTGTTAATAATCAATTGGTTGAATATTATATATTATAGGGCTATGCCGCATGTCTCTCTCNATACTATTTTGGAGGACATAGAAGCAGTTGGGAAAATATGAATATTATTCAGGTTATACGCATGTTATCAATGGATAAATTTTAATTACTTTTTATCAGTATTGTAACAAGAAACGAACATTTTTATTAATGTCTAAGATTTACACGAAAATCGTTTGCAAAGTACACATCTAATAACTTTGACATTTTATTTTGATAGTCCATTATATTTTTAGAAAATATAGTTTATCATTGATTATTATAATAAACATTTAAATTATTTTACAAATAACTCCACATCTAAAAAAAATTTTTTTCTTTTCTAAAATAATAAAAAAAAAAAATTAAATTATATTCGTGCTCTAATAATGTACCATATTTTTAGAAAAAAATTTTAAACACCTACAAAAGTCTGCAGCTCAAAAGAAAAATCTATTTAATTTATCTTAAAATTATTGTGGGATGGGGCGTTAAAATTTCAAAAACAACGCAAATACACGCAACACCGGAATCTACAGTCAGTTTCGACGAATTTAGGTCATAATCATCACCAAGTAAAAACGTATCCCTGAAGCAAAGTGCATGTCATATCGAATAATCAAACAGATGGATCTGACATGTGTACCTTCTGAGTAAATGCAACTGAGAGAGACAGGGCAGCTTTAACGCGCTTAACTCCTCGCTTTGCAAACAGGTAGCTGTTTTGACTGGAGCTCCTCTTCCCCATCAGATCACCGTTCACGTCCAAGAGTCGATGGACGGGGGATCGGATGACGGCCCGACCACCCCTGGAGACGACGATGACGACGACGATGATAAGGATAAGGTACATTGTATTTTTATGGTTTTTCAATTGCCGATAAATGAACTGTGGGGGTTCATTGACTAGGAGGAGAAAAAGAGCTTGAAGGAGCGTCTACAGGCGATACAGGAGGTTACCCAAACCGTGCAAAACTCGATCGGCTACATAGCCAGTCTGTGCGAGCGGGTGAAGAACCTGTTCAACTTCACCGTACCCTACCTGAGCTACCTCGCGATGTTCATAGTGATATGTGCATCGGTGGTGTTTTACTTCATACCCATAAGGTATCTCATACTCGGCTGGGGTGTCAACAAGTTTGCCCGGAAAATCATCAGGCCCCACTCGGTGCCCAACAACGAACTACTCGATCTCATATCTAGGGTACCGGATGACGAGGAATTGCTCAACTATAGGTAACCAACATGCAGCCTTTGTACTACTATTATTTTTTGTCCCATAGTGAATTTTTTACAAACCAACTGGGATACGAGAAGGAACCCTCAAGTGGTCTTATTTTAATTCTCGTTGGGAAAATTTATTAAAAAATGATAAAGTAGGCTTTAGTAAATGGGGGATTTCTTTCCACCCAAATAAAATGTTTCTACAAATCGAAAATAAAATTTGTCTTTAATAATCGTCAATGGGATTTTAAAGATTAGTAAATGGGTTTCTCCTGGATTCCAAGTCCCTAAGTAGAGCATTTAAGCCCCATCACTATTTTTTTACGACAACCTCCAAAATAGAATCCATGGTTTTAGATGACAGAAAAGGAGAAATAAAAATAAAAAAGAGAAATTAAACTTGAAAATTTTCCAGAGAGCTGAAATCAGTACCAACGACCGACTGCGAGAGCACAGTGGGAAGCGGTGGCGGGCACCCGGGCGCCGGTGCGGGCTCGAGTCGCCGGGAGTTGCGCAAGCGCCATCAAAAGCAGGCCGCGTAGCAGCAGTACGTCCCGCGGCCGGACGTCGCGGGCCTCAGGGCGCACGGCAACCTCAAGAGGTCCCTGCTGCGCCAGAAATTTGACTACCTGCGCCAGCGCATGGGCTCAACCGAAAAGCCGGACGCGCCCGATCTCGACTGACGAGCGACGCCCCCTTTCGAGGCTGTCGCTCTGGTTGCTTCGAACGCAAAAGTTGTTATCATCGTTTTTTTATCGTTATGATAATTGTTGTATTCACAATCGTTCGTGTGGGTTGCCGGGCTTGTGCGTTGTGCTAGGGTTAATTTGGAAATCGACGCAGGCATGGACAGGTTGTTGTTCTTGGTGTGGTTGGTCGATTGCGAAGTTTGCCTCTGATCGATGACGAGCCAAAGTCGTTTTTAAATATGGTCACGTCTGTCGTCGATTTCGGTGGTTTTGTTTATTTTAATCCCAATGTCAGGGGTGTTTTGTGATACCTGAAAGCTCAATTTTTTATGGTGGATACTTATAATCACAACAGGAAAACGATCGCAATTGTTTGCTGTGAGCAGACACAGTTGGTTAATGTTTTTCCATGTATTCATGTTTTTGCCAAGTCATAGCAATGGTTACAAAAGTTACTGTGAATAGGTTTTTTTTTTTTTTTTTAGAAATCAAGGCTTATTAATTGAAATATCCGCTGTTACTGTTTCACAAAATATTCGTTGAAAAAATCTATCGATGATCAAAATTGATACATAACGCTGAAATAAAAAATTTTTTGGATTCAGATTTTTTTAATATGTATTTTACGTACAAGAATTTTCATTTAGAATGCGTCAAGGATTTAAAAAAATTCCTTTCTCAGTTAAACAAAGTGAAAAAATAAACCATCTGTGTTTGGTTCAGAAATTGTTAATAATTGTATTATTTCTGTAAATTCTTTTTAAAAATCCCTTCTCACCCCTTAAAATTTAGAATAAATTTTCAAAGCTTATGCGGATCGCTTGAGAGCATCGTTGCCTTGAACTGACGTCAATATTTTAACACTCGATTGCTGGAAAATTCATCAGATATGTTGAATAGTGTTTTATTTTACGTTTGATCACTAACTGTTCTTGAATGTAGCATTCAAAACGTTATATTGATGCAAAATATGGCATTGATATTCACTACATAATAATTTTTTTTAACATTGAAAAAGGTATCTGAATAATACGCAAAAATAAAAAATTAAATCAGAAACTCTTAATAAACATTTAAACGTAGTATTTTATCAATATTTCATATAATACTATTTTGGAGGACATAGAAGCAGTTGGGAAAATATGAATATTATTCAGGTTATACGCATGTTATCAATGGATAAATTTTAATTACTTTTTATCAGTATTGTAACAAGAAACGAACATTTTTATTAATGTCTAAGATTTACACGAAAATCGTTTGCAAAGTACACATCTAATAACTTTGACATTTTATTTTGATTAAATGCAATTTGCTTCTTTCTTTACGAATTTATAGTTTATAACGATGTACCGTAATGTGATAAATAAATAAAATAAGATAGTTGTTGATGTGCACTTGTTTGTGCATGCACTTAAAACTTGGTGTTAATGTTTAGCTTACAATTATTATTTTATTGATTGGTTGGAAGAAAAGAAATTGTTTTGTACAAACTGTCCATGTCTGCACAGCTAGATAATGTTGAAAAGATTGAAAAAAAAATAAAAAAAATAAATAAATAAAAATAAAGCACGATCGCACGAAAAAATTAAAAATAGCTGCCTTATTAAGAATATTAAAGTATATGCGACATTTACGAGACTATGCGTCCAAAGACGGAAACGAAGTATGTAGACGAAAAGAATAACATTAACACTTAAGCAATAAAAAGCACTAGGTGAATAGCTATTAATTATTTTCTGGTCAATTTTTGTAATCTTGGGTACAAGTAAAGTATATATTTCGAATTTAAAGTTATTTGTATATTTTTATTGGAAATGGAATAAAATGTTGACGTAAAATTGATTGCAAAATAATTATAATTAGTTCACCAGTAAAACAAGTTTTTGCGAGTTCTTCGTATAAAACGTAAGAACAATAGTTTGTCAATTGCGTGTGAAACGAACATACAAAACCAAACGATTTCCAATGAACTAAAACGTGTATCATTCAACTAAAGACAATTTAAAAAATTTTTTTTTTATACCAATTCACACGATTTTTGCTTTCACTTTCACAAATGGCTGCTGTATTCATAGTTCTTCGAAAACTCGTGCGATCGCGATTTTGCAATCGAAAGGTTTTAAAAATTAAGCTCCAAGGGCTGAATAAAATTTGTAATTCCCTATCTAGATTAACCATCGTATTTGTAATTAGCAGTTATATTTTTTAAGACCAATTTTCAAGACCAATTATGCATTATGTTGTTAAATGTTACTTTGTACATCACCTTGTTATATTTTTACAAATAAGTAGGAATGAGTAATGTTTTCAAAAATACGTACAAATTTTAAATCTACTCGATATTCTATTTTTCGTCTCTTTAACAAATAAAGACTTCCATAAAGTTGGCCAAATTATATTTTAAGAAATATTAAATGGAAAATTACGTATTAATTGTTGAAATATTATATTTTTAAAGTGTTTAAAAATGTTATTAAAGAATAATAAGACTAAAGGTTGAAATTTATAAAATTCGACATTAAATTAAAGTTAGTTTTTAGTTTAGCTATACGAAAGCATATCTACTTTAACAAATGTATAACTAGAAATTCCAGTTTGAAATATAATAAATTGAATATTTGACTACAATTTTAGATGATTAAAATGATGCAAAGTTTAAAGTTTTATCTACAAATCGATAAAATTTCTAATTCTTATGCATCAATAGCTAATTACAAATTTGTTTGTTAATTAGATTGTCGGTTTGAAATGGCCCAATATTTTTAACGTCAAAAGCAAAAATACATATAGCATTTAAATCGCACGAAATTCGAAACAAACATAACTTTACTAAGCACAATGATAAAATATATTGTGAAACGAAAGACAAAACCATATCTTTAAAAAACTTATCGTGAATTCTCAAAAGTTACTTACTAGAGTTTCCTTATCTACTTAAATCTAATCAAATAAAAGAAAAATAATATAGCGATACACACGTAGTTAAACTTAAAGCTAATGAACTTCAATGAAAGTTCATTTTTTACTTCGTCCATCGATGTCGTAGGTTAAGAGTAAAAAATGTTGTTGTATCATAGGAATAGGAAAAAATATTTTTTGGTCTTAGTGGTAATTATTTTGTTTATTAAAAAAGTAGAAATCGTATGTCAATAATAGTGTCTTCATTTGCTACTGATACAATATATTCTCATATTAAAAAAATGTATTTATCAATCACAACTAATTTTTTTGTGTACATATTTATGTATGAATGTACGTGGGTATATATACATATATACGTATACAATCATAGTTACCTCATGATGCACAATGTCAAGTGTACTACAGCGCAACTTTTAAACCACAGCTACATCATAAAAATAATTTGAATTAAAAAAAATATTATCATTCAGCTGAGGCATTAGAATTGCGTTAAGGTATATTGTATTTATATAAAGTGTATAACATAAAAATTAAAAAATATATTTTTACCTATTCCTATCTGTAAGATTCGCTTAAGATTGAGCATACAATATGTGTTTAGCAATTTACAATTGTTTTGCTCTTAAAAAATACAATGACTAAAATGTGAGAGTTTGATGAAACAAAAAGTGATTATACAAGGTAATCATTTAAGCGTTTGTGAAAAAGGTATTGTTAAAGTTTAAATGAATTATCTGCGAAAAACAATTTACATATTAGTTCCTTGCTTCCAAACCAAAAAAATTCACAAACAGTTGCTAATTTTTTTTTACTATTTTAGAAACAAACCAGACACTTAATATAGATGTAGATGCATACTTAGATAGTGCACTTTAAGAATTTTATACATTTTGATGATAGTTCACAATTTTTTTTTTACTAATAACTTATCTTACCTACAGCTCACTCGTACAATACATGTTACGATTCCACATTATTACAATCATCTCTTCATACTTTATTTATAAAAATATTTGCATACTTAACGTATAAATAGATAATGTAAAAAGAGAGCATCAAGATTGTTAAATGTGAAGTGAAAATTATGCATTGCATTATTTAACTCAGTTGATCATTAAAGCTACTAGTTATGTACTTAAAAAACTAATTAAAACATACATATGAGAAATACCTTATATTTTTAATATTTCAATTCCATTGTATAATTAAATGCTACGGTGCTTTTTGCAATGTTGTGGAATAAACTGCATAATTTTCCAAAAAATCAGCCAATAATACATGGGCTGCTGACTGAAAGTAAAGATTTTTTTAGCTAATGTAATATATTATATTATGCGTTTGTCCTATAAAAATATTTAGAATTTTTGGATATGTTTATTATATAAATAAAAAAAAAAATTTATTACAAACAACTTTTGCTTAATTGTGTTCAGATAATATTATTTCCATGATTTGCATGCTAGCTGCATGCTGCATAAATAATAATAATTTATTTTGATGATACTTATTCCTTACCTTGAATTCTCGGAGAAGATTTCGCTACAGAATCGTAAAAACTAAATAGCAATAATATTTTAATTAGGGGTAAAAATTTCAATTTAATGTATTATATTTTAAAAGAATGTTACATCTATTAACTGCATGTGCATTATATTAAAATTTTATGTCCATTATTATGTTTAGTTTGAATGCAGTCTACTGAATATGTAGGATTTTTGTATTACTTTGTTTTCCAACAAATTTTATATACAAGGGGGCCTAATGGTGTGGTAATACATATAAACCAACTATGATTCTTGGGTCATTGCAAGAAATAGTTGTAACAAAAATAAAACTCTTCATCATACGCATGTTTTTTGTACAGTTTATTGAAATTATATGTATATGTCAATGTAAAAAAATTGTTAAATACTTTACACTTGAACAAACGTTACTGATTTTTTAAATGTTTAGATTTTTAAGTTTTACTAATTGAATAATTATTATAAGATAATTATAATCACATTTCACCAAATTAGAAATTATTAAATTTAATAAAGTCGTTTTTGTGTAT